AACCAAAGGAAGTGGAGGCGAGGCTAAAGATACTTGGTGGTGGAACGAGGAAGTCCAAATGGCTATTAAGGAGAAGAAAGAATGCTATAGACGCTTGTACCATGACAGGAGTGTGGACAATATAGAGAAGTATAAGGTGGTAAAGAAGACTGCAAAACGAGCTGTAAGTGTGGCAAAGGGAGCGTACGAGAATCTTTACCAATATTTGAGTACGAAGGAAGAAGAGAAGGACATTTATAGGATGGCTAGGGTTCGTGAGAGAAAGACAAGGGACTTCAACCAAATTAAGTGCATTAAGGATGAAAGGGAGCATCTCTTGGTGAAGGAGGAGGAGATCCAACATTGATGGTAAGAGTATTTTGACAAATTGTTCAATGGTGAGAATACGGACACAACCTTTCAGTTGGATGACTCTTTTGATGACACCAATAGGCGCTTTGTGCGGAGAATCCAAGAATCTGAGGTCAGAGAGGCGTTGAAAAGGATGAAAGAAGGTAAAGCGATAGGACCGGATGATATCCCAATCGAAGTGTGGAGATGTCTCGGGGACATAGCTATAGTATAGCTAACCAAGCTGTTCAACCATATTTTTCGATCGAACAAGATGCCTGATGAGTGGAGGAGAAGTATATTGGTACCGATCTACAAGAATAAATGGGATATTCAAAGTTGTACTAATTACCGGGGAATTAAGTTGATGAGCCATACTATGAAGCTATGGGAGAAAGTTATCGAGCATCGCTTGAGAGCAATAACGCGGGTCTCTATGAACCAATTTGGTTTCATGCCCGGAAGGTCAACCATGGAAGCCATTTTCTTAATAAGACAAGTTATGGAGCGGTATAGGGAGAAGAAGAAAGACCTACACATGGTTTTTATTGACTTGGAGAAGGCTTATGATAAAATACCAAGGAATGTTATGTGGTGGGCTTTGGACAAACATAAAGTCCCAACGAAGTACGTCGGACTCATTAAGGACATGTACAACAATCTTGTGACTAGAGTTCGAACAATTGATGGAGACACGGATGACTTCCCGATTAGGATAGTACTACATCAAGGGTCAGATTTGAGCCATTATTTGTTTGCCTTAGTGATGGATGAGGTCACAAAGGACATACAAGGGGACATCCCGTGGTGTATGCTTTTCGCAGACGATGTTGTGCTAGTTGATGAAAGCCGGACAGGAGTGAATCAGAAACTGGAGTTATGGCGGGAGACTTTGGAGTCCAACGGTTTTAGACTCAGTAGAACTAAAACTGAGTATATGAGATGTGACTTCGGCACTACTACTCGGGAGGAGGAAGATATTAGTTTGGAAGGTCTAGTAGTGCCTAGAAAGGATACCTTTCGATATTTAGGATCAGTGCTACAGAGAGACGGGGATATTGATGAAGATGTTAGCCATAGAATCAAAGCAGGTTGGATGAAGTGGCGCCAAGCATCTGGTGTCCTATGTGACAAAAAGGTACCACAGAAGCTAAAAGGCAAGTTTTATAGGACGGCGATTAGACATGCTATGTTATATGGTGCAGAATGTTGGCCTACGAAAAGACGATATGTTCAACAGATAAGTGTCGCGGAAATGCGTATGTTGCGTTGAATTTGCGGTCATACAAGAAGGGATCGAGTTCGGAACGATGATATACGTGATAGATTAGGGGTAGCACCAATTGAAGAAAAGCTTGTCCAACACCGGTTGAGATGGTTTGGACATGTCCAACGGAGACCTCCAGAGGCACCGGTGCGTAGTGGAATCCTAAGCTAGGATAGTAACGTGAAGAGAGGTAGAGGAAGACCGAAGTTGACTTGGGTAGAGGCAATAAAATGAGACTTGAAATGATGGAATATACCCAAAGACTTAGCCTTAGATAGGAGTGCTTGGAAGACAACTATTCACGTGCCTGAACCTTGATTGCTTCTGCTGGGTTTCAACTCTAGCCTACCCCAACTTGTTTGGGACTTAAAGGCTTTGTTGTTGTTGTTGTCTTCTAAGATCTGTATTGATCAGTCCATCCGCCTTTGCATTCCGTGAAAGGTGTTGCAAGGACCATCATCACTTAAAGTTTCTTCTGCGCTACTCTGACCTGGCATTCAAAACGATCGATATTGATCCATTATTCCATTTATGTGTTATCTATCTGTTATATTTTTTTTAATATTGCTAATGTTTACAGGTCTACAGGCATCCTTCTCGAACCGAGACTGCATTAAGGGTTATCCGGAATCACTCAAAGACAGTATTGGGAAAGCAATATTCTGCAATTGCTAAAAAACATTTACTTCTTTTTGAGGTAGAAAATGTTTCTTTCTCTTTTGACATAATCAAGCTCGTTGCTAACCATGACATGATAATTTAGGCTATGCGCAAGGAGTTTCCTCAAGCAAGGTTTCTGTCAATTGCTCAAACCCAATTATTGCGTGCTCATGACGAGATCAAGATGTCCATCTCAAGACTTCAGCTCAAAGAGAAAGACGATGAACCTAGCGCTGCCAATATTGTAACTAGAGAGGAACTCATACCATATAATGTCCAGTTTACAAGTGAAAAATTCATGTCACTCTCATCTTTAGCCCGTGTAAGAGGCCAACTCCAGAACTTAAAGGTGTGTGATAACTTCAAGTAAACTTCTGCCATAGAACTTCACATTTTAGTGTACAATTTACATAACTTGTTTGTTCCCAAAGATTGCACTATTATACTATCATATGGGTCACTCGTTATTGTTTGGGTTAATATCATCTTAATATAATACCTCTGCTACAGAGTCCTGTTCTTGCATGGCTCCTTTTTTATGTAGATCACATCTGTGCTTTTAGGGATTGGCGGTATGTAACAAGAAAACACATAACCAGCATGGCGAATCATTGGCTAAAGCAGGCGATGCTGTTGATACAGTTGCTCCATGTTCAGTCACAGGGCAAACTGTCTCTGATTTTCGTAATGAACCATGCCCAATATGCCAGGAGAAGGTTTTTGACCAGAAAATGGTTTTCCAGTGTGGTCATTTTGTATGCTGCAAGTGTGAGTATCCATGCAAGTTTTGTGTTCAAAATTTGTTCAAAGCTACACCAATTGAAGAAAAGCAGTACTCCTAGATAAGATAGATACTACTGTTGACTGATGCAAACTACTCCCTCCGTTCTAAATTATAGTTCACTTTAGTTTTGTCCTAAATTCAAATTTCTCTAACTTTGACCAAGATTTTAGAAAAAAAAAATATATTAACATCTACAAATTCAAATAAATGCAACACCAGGACATAGTTCATGGAGGATTTAATGAAACTAAGTTGATATTGTAGATGTTGATGTGTCTTTCTATAAACTTGGTCAAAGTTAGAGAGTTGACTTAGGACAAAGCTAAAGTGAACTATAATTTAGAAGGGATGGAGTATAACGTATCTGTCTGTTTGTTGTGCTGTGGAATTTACTTTAGCAATCTTACCCTTCCTCTAAGTTCAATGCTGATGTAACTTCAGGACATACAATTGGATAATCATGCCACTTGTTTGTTCAAGTACTCATATGATGTATAGTGAATTCCTGACCTTGACTAAATTATCTTCTTACTGCTCTCAGGTTGTCTTTACATGACAGAACAATCTGCAGCCCAATTCAGAAAGCGTAAAAAATGGATTATGTGCCCCACATGCCGTCAGCGAACAAATATTGAGAATGTTGCTTTTGTAGTTGAGAAAGCTTGGGACAAACCTGAAAAGAGCACTGAAGATTTGGCTGAAAGCACTATTTCTGTCCAAGGTTCATATGGAACAAAGGTTTCATGCAATCTCATTACTTTGTTGGTGTTCTATCTGTTCTGCATTTGAACCCTGTGGTTACTGCTTTATTTTGGTTTGTAACTTGCATAACTACATTTGAAAATAGGACCTTTGTGTCAATGTGTCCATGCACATAATTAATCATGTAACCCCATAAGATGGAAGGACTATAACAACAACAACAACATAGCCTTTCAGTCCCAAGCAAGTTGGGGTAGGCTAGAGTTGAAACCCACCAAGAGCTCCAAGTCACGGTTCAGGCACTTCAATAGCTGATTTCCAAGTACTCCTATTCAAACATAGATCTCTAGGTATATCCCAAGCTTTCAAATCTCTTTTTATTGCCTCCCCCCATGTCAATTTTGGTTTTCCTCTACCTCTTCTCATATTATTAGCTTGGCTTAGGACTCCACAATGCACTGGTGCCTCTGGAGGTCTCCTTTGGACATGGCCAAACCACCTCAATCGATGTTGGACAAGCTTTTCTTCAATTCGTGCTACCTCTAGGCGATCACGTATATCATTGTTCCGAACTCGGTCCATTTTGTGTGACCGCAAATCCATCGCAACATACGTATTTCTGCAACACTCAGTTGTTGAACATGTCGAATCTTTGTAAACCAACATTCTGTTCCATACAACATAGCCGATCTAATCGCCGTTCTATAGAACTTTTAGCTTTTGTGGTATTCTCTTGTCACAGAGCATGCCAGAAGCTTGTCGTCACTTGATCCACACTGCTTTGATTTTATGGCTAACGTTCGCATCAATATCTCCATCCCTTTGTAGCATCGATCCCAGATACCGAAAGGTATCCTTCTTAGGCACTACCTTCCAAACTCACATCTCCCTCCTTTTGTACAACTCCGTCAAAGTCGCATCTCATGTATTCGGTTTTAGTTCTGCTTAATCTAAAACCTTTAGACTCAAGGGTCTGTCGCCATAACTCTAGTTTTCTATTTACTCCCGCCTAGTTTTCGTCCACTAACACTACATCATCAGCGAACAACATACACCAAGGGATATCCCCTTATATGTTACTGGTAACCTCATTCATTACCAAGGTAAAGAGATACGGGCTTAAGGCTGACCCTTGATGAAGTCTAATTTTAATTGGGAAGTAATCTGTGTTACCATCGTTTGTTCGAACACTAATCACAACATTGTTGTACATGTCCTTGATGAGGGTCGCGTACTTTGATGGGACTTTATCTTTGTCTAAAGACCACCGCATAACATTTCTTGGTATCTTGTCATATGCCTTCTCCAAGTCAATGAAAACCAAGTGGAGATCCTTCTTCTGCTCTCTAAACCGCTCCATAACCTGTCTTATTAAGAAGATTGCTTCTGTGGTTGACCTTCCGGGCATGAAACCAAATTGGTTTGTTGATATCTGCGTCGTTCCTCGCAGGCGCTGCTCGATGACTCTCTCCCATAACTTCATAGTGTGGCTCATCAACTTAATTCTTCGATAATTAATACAACTTTGGATATCTCCCTTGTTTTTGTATATTGGTACCAATATGCTTCTTCTCCACTCCTCAGGCATCTTGTTCGATCGGAAGATATTGTTGAACATCTTGGCTAGTCATACTGTAGCTATATCCCCGAGACGTCTCCACACCTTGATTGGGATACCATCAGGGCCCATCGCTTTGCCCCCTTTCATCCTTTTCAAAGCTTCTCTGACCTTCGATTCTTGAATCCTCCGCACAAAGCGTCTGCTAGTGTCATCAAACGAGTCGTCCAGCAGAACAGTGGTGTTCTCGTTCTCACCATTGAACAATTTATCAAAATACTCTAGCCATCTATGTCTGATCTCATCCTCTTTCACTAAGAGTTGTTTCCTCTCATCCTTTATGCACTTGACTTGGTTGAAGTCCCTTTGTCTTCCTATCGCGAACCCTAGCCATCCTATAAATGGCATTCTCTCTTTCCTTCGTACTTAAACGTCGGTAAAGGTCCTCATAGGCCCGCCCCTTTGCCTCACTCACCGCTCATTTTGCAGTCTTCTTTGATACCTTGTACTTCTCTATGTTGTTTGCACACATGTCATGATACAAGCGCTTATAGCACTCCTTCTTTTCATTAATAGTCTTTTGCACATCTTCATTTCACCACTAAGTGTCTTTCAAGTCGCATCCGCTCCCTTTGGTCACTCCAAGCACCTCTGAAGCAACCTTTCAAACACATGTTGCCATCTTCTCCCACATGCTGTTTGCATCGCCTTCATCATTCCAAGGACCCTCTTCAATGACCTTTTTCTTAAAGACCTTTGATGCCTCCCCTTCTAATTTCCACCACTTCGTTCTAGCAACCCTAGCTTGTTTGTTCCCACGAGCTTGCACCAGAAAGCGGAAATCAGCCACCACTAGCTTGTGTTGAGCGACCACACATTCTCCAGGTATCACCTTACAGTCCACGCATATTCGTTTATCCCTCCTTCTTGTAAGGACAAAGTCGATTTAACTAGAGTACTGGCCTCTACTAAAGGTCACTAAATGGGACTGTCTCTTACGAAAGAAAGTGTTAGCTATCATCAGATCAAAAGCTATGGCGAAGTCTAAGACTTCCTCTCCCTCCTGGTTCCTACTACCATATCCGAAACCCCCATGAACCGCCTCGAAACCTGCACTTGATGTACCTACATGGCCATTAAGATCACCTCCTATAAAGAGCTTCTTGCTACTAGGGACAGCTCTAACCAAGCGATCTAAGTCTTCCCAGAAAAGCCGCTTAGCACTCTCATCATGGCCTACTTGGGGGCATACGCACTGGTTACGTTTAAGACCATATCACTAATGACAAGTTTAACTAAGATGATCCTATCCTCTTGCCTTCTCACCTCCACCACACCATCCTTGAGGCTCTTATCAATCAAAACTCCTACTCCATTTTTATTTGAAGTTGTCCCTGTGTACCAGAGCTTGAAGCCGGTATTGTCCACCTCCTTCGCCTTCTACCCCTTCCATTTAGTCTCTTGGATGCATAAGATATTTACACGCCTCCTAACCGCTGTGTCCACTAACTCTCTTAACTTACCTGTAAGGGACCCTACATTCCAGCTACCTAAACGGATCCTAGTTGGCTCGACTAGCTTTCTTACCTTTCGCACCCGCCTAGGTAGGTGTGAAGACCCTTGCTCATTTTGCACCACACCCGGGCGCCGATGTGGCGCGCCACTAAGGATGCGACGACCCGATCCTTGCTCACTTGACATCGTGTCCAGATCGCGACACGGCGCGTCACGGGGGTGACGACCCGGCCCTTGCTCATTTAACACCATACCCGGGTTCCGACATAGCGCGTCGCTAAGAGGGTTACACCCCAACAGGAATAAGATGGAAGGACTATGTTCTAAAAATTCCTCAAAATGTTATTAGTATTCAACTATCTATAAGACTATAATGCAATTGCTGCTAACTGTTTGCAAAGGAAAAAAAAAAGGATAGGCCACTACTTAAGCAGGTACCACAACTTCTGGTTTGTTTGGTTATTGTATGTTGAAGTTAATAATGTAAACCCGTAAGATGGAATGACTATTCTCAAGAGTCCTGAAAATGCCTGTAAGATGGAATGACTATATTCTCAAGAGTCCTGAAAATGTTATTGTTTAACTACACTTCTATAATGCACTTGCTGTTAAATATTTGCAGAGGGAAAGAGATGGGTCATATACTTAAGCAAGCTCCTCTACTGGTTTGTCTGGTTATTGTATGTTAAGTTCAGTGTAATGATCCCATTTTCTCTCTTTTCCTGATGAAGATTGAAGCTGTCACAAGTAGAATCTTGAGAATCACTTCAACTGATGGAACATCTAAAGTTCTTGTTTTCTCAAGTTGGAATGATGTACTGGATGTACTAGAGCACTCCCTCGCTGCTAACAACATTTCATATGTTCGGATGAAAGGAGGAAGGTGTGATAAAATATATAGAATCGTGTTCTTTCAGTTTTCTTGATTGGCCAAACTGTTCCTTTCTGATCTTTCAGTTAGATGGTTATCACTGAGGAAGTACTCTATATGCTCCATTGTTCTGACTTCTGAGCAATGAAATGTCTTTGTGAAAGTTTGCTTCCTTTTCAGAAAATCACAGGCAGCCCTCTCCCAATTCAAGGGTCAGGTGAGCAATGTAAATGTAGATAAAGTGAAAAGGACAACCTCAATGCAGCCTGTTCAAGTACTACTGATGCTTATGCAGCATGGAACAAATGGTATTAATCTACTAGAAGCACAACATGTTATTCTAGTGGAGCCATTACTAAACCCTGCCGCTGAGGCACAAGCTATCAGCAGGATCCATAGAGTTGGGCAAGACAAAAGCACATTTGTTCACCGTTTTATAGTAAGCGCTACATCCTATTCTTCTTTTTTCTTCTTCTCTTTAATATATTCTTGGAAACGGGTTTTGATGTATTATTTATTGTCAGGTGAAGAAAACAATAGAAGAGAGCATCTACAAATTGAACAGGAGCAGAGCTGTCTGCTCTACTATAACCTGTAAATCCAAAAACTTCAAAGATGAGCCTGTTTTGACGCTGAAGGATGTGGAGTCATTATTCCTGATGACAGGACCTGATGAACCCCTAGAACAGGCAGATCAAGATTATGGCGATAGCTTGAGGAGTTTGCCTCCATCTGTTGCAGCTGGGTTAGCTGCTGAAAGAAGGCGAATAATGGAGCAACATGACAACCAGCAATAAGTTAAGAGATGACTTACGTTCTCCAGTGAAGGTTTGTCAAAGAATCCTCGATCCATCATCGTGGCAGTTGTGTTAATTTTACTGGATCACTAATTTTCCATCCCAGTATTAAAAATAGTAGAAGGATGTTCTTCGGCTATGAAGCACCCTCGTCTTTAGAATCTGACTTCTAAAATGTTCTAGGGCACCCACTATGGTGCCATTTACGTTGTAACTTTAGGATTTTTTTTGTATATACCTGTAGTCCCTTCAGATTCGTACATAAACTCCATTTTTTATTTATGTAGTAGAGCATGCACAGTTTGTCTGCTGGTTGTTCAGAAGCATGCTTGTACGGCCCATCTTATTCTCCTGTAATTTTGATGCAGCAGTTCTGCCACTGCCACGTCAACTTATGCCATTTATACATGTTCATCAAGATGCCACATTTCGGCTTCTAATTGGTAGGTCGATTTAGACGATTGGTGGTGGCAGTCTGGCAGAGCTAGTAGTCATCAACTCATCAGGTTCTGGAATAAAATTGTCAGTTGTCATCTGCGGTCTGCAGATGGTCTAGACTGCTGGATGTATGGGTCCTGTTTAGATTCTAAAAAATTTTGCGCAGTATCCGTCATATCCAATCTTGTGGCACATGCATGTAGTACTAAATGTAGACGAAAAAAAAACTAATTGCATAGTTAGATGAGAAATCGCGAGACGAAACTTTTGAACATAATTAGTCTATAATTAGATACTAATTGTCAAATACAAATGAAAGTGCTATAGTAACCAAAATTTAAATTAAATTCAAAAAAATTTGTATCTAAACGGGGCCTTAGTTTGTGTTACCGGCGATGTACAATCTCTATCTCCTATGATTTTTGGGCGCGGGCTGATAGCTTCTGCATCCGGGCTACGCCACTTGTGACCGTGGTCGACATGGCAAATGGGCAACACCGCAACACTGTCTTTGACCTCGTCTCTTCAACTATCGTATCCATGTCTTTCATCTGAATTTCTGATGTACCTTGTCTTTGAAATAGTGTACTCTACACTTACGTGGAAGACAGACATGTGACATGTCTCCCCCACATATGAAAAAGATACAAAACTTGTGGTGGCTAATTCCTAGTTTAATTTTCGTGGGTCGCCCTGTTCCCGTCATGCATGTGTCAGGGCAAAAGACCAGTCAGCCTAGATGCACAAGTTTTCATAAGAAAATTGCCTGCGAGTAAAGATGCTCTCCCCCTCGCTGGGATCATTTGTTGCATTGCATGGCGCCCAATTTGTACTCTACTTGTACACCAGTTGGGCTTTCATTTGCCATTTTGCTCCGGCTTGCACAGCATGACAAGCAGCGTTTTAAATCTCCGGTTATGGTGACATTCAACAGAGGTGCTCTTCAACGGGTAATAGCGAAGCTAAATGAGACTGCAGGCTACAGCCTCTAAATTGTACATTAACGCAATTAACTACTCCCTCTATCCTTAAATAACTGTCGTTTGCGCTTCCCGAGAAACAACTTTGACTAAATATATATAAAAAATTAATATTTATGGTATAAAATTAATATCATTAGATATATTTTTTCTATTTTCATAATAAATTTATTTTGAGATACAAATGTTGCACGTATTTTCTATAAATTCAGTCAAATTTACGACACAAAAACCAAAAACGGCAATTGTTTAGGAACGGAGGGAGTAAATCTTACCTCAAATCACTAGCTATAGCACTTTGAGGATCGACAAGTGAAAAGTTCAGCTTGTACCATTGTCAAGTACACACAACTACTACTCCGTACGCACCCTTGATTCACTAAACATAATAAATGCATCGATTATATATATACTCCTAGTCACAAATAAATGATATTTTCATTATCTATAGAATATAACTTTGATCACTATTTTGTTATTTTACGTTAATTGTACCACTATAACAGAAGTTTCTGCCATTTTTTTCCCTGGTCAAGGTATTCACTGAGCCGTGACTCACTGTGAGGTCTGAGCCATGGATGACTATAGATGGCCATTCGGGCCGCCCGGCCCGGCCCAGCACGGGCCCGTGCTCGGCACAGCCCAAAGGTCATCGGGCCGGCATGGCCCGTCAGGTGCATCGGCCCATGCCGTGCCGGCCCACGGGCAGCACTAACGGCCCAAGCACGGCCCTAAAGGCCTCGTGAGCGTGCTCGTGCCAGCCCAAGGCCCGACACTCCCCAGGCTAAAAAAAACATGTTCAGCTCAGATTTTTTCACAGATTACAAGTAAATAGGTTTCAACAAGTTTTCAGTTACATCTTTCAACAAGTTCTCGGTTATCTTTCAACAAGTAAACATCTTTCACAGATCACAAGTAACATGAATGTAAACATAAATAACTGATATATTAGCTGCTTAGTGCAATGGTCGCCTCATTAAAAACCTTTACGGTAAAAACTCACACCTCGTGAAAAAACCCCCAGAAAGGAAAAGAGTACAGACCCACACTTTAATAAGTGTTCATAAGTTCATTAAGTCTTACAGATCATCCGTAAAGGAAAGGAAAAAGAGTACAAGCCCACATGCCACAAAGACATTACATTCTCATCATCAAGATACGAGTTCTCAAATGCCTCCACTAGCTCCACATTCTCCATGGTATGTTGAGTCTTTGTATCTGCTTGCTCCCAGGTCCTTCACCAACTACAAGACATCTCCACCATGTCCTGGTTAGACGCCGTCGCCATTCCTCGATGATCCCGCCAGTTAGACTAAATGCAGATTCTGAAGATATAGTAGAAAGCAGCACGCAGTCAAAACATCCTCAGCTAAGATGGAAAGAACGAGATATGACGGTTTGTGCTCATGCCACCGATTGAGGATATTGAAGTCGTCGTCATATTGGTTGGCATGATGTCCTTTGTCAAAGGTATGCGACCAACTTCGAAGCATTCAGTTAGCACCAGAGTGTCTTTGCTGCAGCAAAAGCACATCTTGATGGCCTCCTAGTGGATGAAGATGCACCACCACCAAGTCCAGAGGTAGACTAGCACCAAAGCACCAAGTCCAGTGCCAGCTAGCTAGACTGGCACCAAGATACCAAGACCACCAGCTAGGGCTGGCACCAAACCTAAGTCCACCACCTGGAGAGCCACCAAAAATTTTCCCCCAAAGCAGTCTTTCTCTTCCCTGAAGCAAGGCCTGGAACTGTGGCCCTTTGCAATCTCACATCACCAAACTTGTTGTCATACTTAGCAAAAGTATCAGATAGGTTAGCCCTAACAGTGGTTAAATATTTAGAATAGTTCTCATCAGTTAGCTTAGACATAATTTGGAGAACATTGGTGAATCCTCTTATCTTGGCTCTAGGATCCAAGATAAAAGCAAAGGAATAAAGCATTGGAATTGTAGACCAGTAGTCCTCAAACTTCTCTTTCATGGGGGCAACAACATTTCTCAGGTCCCTGTCTCTTTCATTAGTATTTAAATGTCCAGCAATCTCAAGAACATGATGCATAATTAGTGAAGATGTTGGATAATAAACACTAGACAGCACAACAGTAGAATCATAAAACTGTTCAAGGAATATGAGAAGTTTTTCAGCAGCTTTCCAGTCATTCTCTATCAACAATGGCTGGCCATCAACCAAAGGATGGTTTGCAGTGATCCACACTGAAAAAAGGGCCTTTGTGTCCTATCAGATGCTTTAGCATCAGATAGGTTGCATTCCATCTAACATCCATGTCCAAGCCAAACTTACGAGGGCGGACACCTTTAGCAATGCAGAAATTTTTGTATGATGCAATGCGCAGATTAGAGGAGTTCATAAATAAAATTGCAGTTCTAAAAGCATGCAGCATGGGCTTGAAGACTTCTAGCCCAGCTTTAACAATTAAGTTAATGATATGACAAGCACAGTGCTGATGCAAAAATAGTTCACCAACATAACCAGACAATGCAGGAGCAAGAATCTCCATTGCTTTAGTGTTTGCAGAAGCATTGTCTAATGTAATGGAGAAAACCTTATCAGTTAAGCCATATTCATCAATACAAGTAAGCACACGTTCAGCAATGTTCTCATGATTGTGTGACACATCAATCAACCTTAGACCCAAAATCCTCTTCTCTAATTGCCAGTCAGAGTTAACATAGTGAGCAACAATACTTAAGTAGTCTTCTTTAGCATTACCAGACTATATATCAGATGTCAAAGCAACAGAACTAACAGACTTCAAAGATTCAAGGAGTTTGCTACGACGTTCATTAAAGTACTTAACAAAGTCTCTAGTGGTGGTTTGCCGAGAGATAGGACAGACCTAGGGTTATGAGCAAGTTTAATGTACTCCTCAAAAGCAGCAGATTCACCAAAACAAACTGGAAGATCCTCTCTAGCAATCAACCTGCACAACTGTGTTCTAGCAACCTCAGGGCTGTATTCCCAGTGATGAACAGAACCATCAGGATTAAACCTAAGCAGGGACTGAGACATGGCATTACTGCCGAGCTTTCTCGGTTTGCATAATTTGATATGCCTGATCAAATGACCAGTACCAGCACTAGAACGAGCAGTCAAAGTTTTTTTTGCAGTAATTGCATTTAGCATTGACTCTAACTTGAGATCCATTGCGGAGCTCAAACAACTCCGGCAGTTGTACGTTATTGACTCTAACTTGAGATCCATTGCCGGAGTTGTACGGTGGCGCGTCACGGCGATGACGATCAGCTCCCGCCTCCCGCCCCCAGCTTCGTTCGGTCGTGCCGGAGTTGTACGGCATTGACTCTAACTTGAAATCCATTGCCGGAGTTGTAGGGTGGCGCGTCACGGCGATGACGATCAGCTCCCGCCTCCCGCCCCCAGCTTCGTTCGGTCGTTCCCTCGTCGCCTTGCGCTCGGCTCAGTGGGGTACACCCATCCGACCGGGGCCTGGGGGGACCCGCATGTTCCTGCATGTTCTTCCACGCCACTTCCTCTTTCGCCATCCCGCGCCCTCCTCTCCTTTTTCCTCCCAACTTCCCACCGCGGCCACCGGCCACCAATAAA